CCCGCAAAATACATTTAAAGATAACCAGATGAGAGGGACTGCCAGGACTTGACAGCCAAAGAGATGGCCTTAATTCATTCACACTTCAAACGGATTACAGTGACTTGACATACCTACATGTGAAGCTCTCAGCATTTGGGAACTCCACATGGGCACAACGCTACAACGGACTTGCTCAGCAACGCAGGCTGCTAAGACAGATACCGCATGGCATATGCCTGCATCCTGGTAAGAGGACGACAGAGCAAACATGGGCTTGACAGCTATCACTCAGTGCGCTCTTGAAAGCAACTCAGATTCTATGATAACATGTACTACATAATAACAAAAAAAAAAAAAAAGCCACTGTAGAGAACTGATGAGAAGCAGAAACAGCTTCCACACATGCCTACCTTCTTTTCATTTCAACACTAACAAAACTGAAAAAAAAAAAAGATATTCATCAAGACATGCTAAAGGCTGTGACTGCAAATTATTTCCTCCATCCATTTAAAAAAGAATCTGCAGGCCAGGGATTTTGATAACTCCATTCATTTATGGCTTATTCATGTCCTTAGTGGGAGCTCTCAACATGACTGCATAAATCACCTGGAGAGAGAGGCATTTCTCTTCATAAAATGAAAACACCGGAAAAATCTCATAGCCATTTTGTATAATACAGAAAATGTTGTGTTTAATCCAAGCAACCTACCTAATACAAACAGAGATAACTGTACATGTACAATCAAGGCCATGTAACACTGTGTTAGGAATAATACAATATGCCAAACACAATGTAATATTTAGCATATTTTCATTACTAGAGATACAGTACATCAGACAGGTTTAATTTCTAACTGTGGCAATACAAGAACCAAAGAGTTCATCCGCAGACATGCAGCTGCATCCCTTTTCTTGCTGCTTTTCTTTCTTTATTCCAAGTGAGGCAAATATCTAATATTGTTGCTTGTAGTCTCCCAAACACATCTATAAAGGCAGTCTTTGGAAGAAATGACACAGCTTGATTCCCTTAATAAATGGAAATATGATAGGAATTCATTTCATCCATGCAGAAGATAATTTATTAGCTAGATACTAGCACTGAGAATCATTTCAGGAACTGAAGCTAGAGCAGAGTACAATATAGGGAAAAATGAACGCAGTCTAACAGGCACAGTATTGGAACAGGGCCTCAGGTAACCAGAATTAAATTCCTAGCTCTTCTGCAGACTTTGTGAACAGTATTAGGCTAACCACTTTAACTTCATCTTAAGCTTGGATGATTACCACAGAACTGCATAACTGTTGTTTTTTGTATATATTTATCCATTTAGAAATGAGGAAAATACAATCTATTAATGGGGTGCAGACACCCTATAGTAGCTATACGGACAAAACCATCTTAAAGTATTCTGACCATGAAGTCTGAATAAACAAACTATTTGCTTTGTTAAATATTTATTCGTTAAATTTTTTAAATTAAAATCTTCAAAACATTTTCAGTGTAAGGACTGAAATATGGCCAGTAAAACAAATTAATTGCTAAGAGCTTAACCTTAAGGACTTTGCAAGATACTCTTGCAAAACTTATAAAACTAAAACAGAATGAAAAAGGGAATTCAAATATTTTTTAACATGACCAAATCGTAAATGAAACCTACATAAAATATAAGGTTAATGAAGGGCAAGGTGACTTTAGAGTATCATTAGGGATTTTAAGAAAATAAAGATTCTGAAATGGAAGTGTAATAGCTGTAACTACTGAAGAAAGTAATTCAGCCAGCTTTCTCGTGTGTGTAGTTTTCCAGAAGTTCTGTATCCTTTCCCTAGGGTCCCTATCAGCTGAAGATTTTCTTTCATATGTAAAAATATTCTCATAATATCTAATTTATATTACTTTACAATGGCTCAAAACAATGACAACAGGAAAAAAAAATCATGAGTTGTGACTGAAAAGGACAAATTATGACTACAACAGGAACAGCAGGCAGAATCACTGCTATTCAAAGCATGTGTCGCCCAACACAGCTGTATTTTGCATCAGCTGCCTTTTCAGTTCCAGACTAGGGCAAAATGATATTTAGAGATTAGAGCTCCATCACTGTCATTTCCCTGTGGGGATCCAAACAAACACTTGAACTGTATCTGGTGAGAGAGCCTCACAAAAATTCTTGAAGACCAGTCGTTTCACAGCATGTATACACAGATCCAGAAGGAAAGAGAATATATCTCAATATCCTCCATAGAAACACAGTTTTAATTCCTACACATCGATTTTATTTAAATACAAAAAAAGGGGAATAGCACCATCTCTCATTTGCTTATGTTTGCTCTTCTTCACTTAGTAATTAATGCTAATTACTTGGTGAGGAAGTTTCAAAATAAGCATTTTTCTTAGATTTTCCTGGTTATACTTGACCTTTTTACAGCGTGTAAAAGAAACTGCAGTTACTATAAATACCCACAGTTTCTAAACTGAGTATCGCCATTTGGCAAATCACTTAAATATTTTTAGATGCTCACTTGATCTATGCCTTCTCTATATAATTCCTTTTCTTAACCAAAAGATTTGCATCTAGTGTTGAAACAAAATCTTTATTATGGGATTAGGTATACAGGTTACTATGAACAGAAGATATACATAATCACTTGAAAATGATTATCACAGAGTAGCTATTCCATTATATGGTCATTACCTAATTTAGCCTATTTTAGCCAACATTAGAAGCTAATCATTGAAAAAGCGTACCAATTATTTATCACATGAAGACAGCAAACTTCTACTGTGCTTCTTAGCTCAGAGATTAGATATTGATTCAATATTAATTCAAGGAAACAGTACTTCTAACTTCAGTCACCAAACGCATTCACTGCAGCACTTGTTTTTTTCCAGTGAATTAGCATCAGTCTAGTCACTGAGCCTGACAAAATATACAGTAAATCATAATGAAAGCTGTCAAGGAACTAGCAAGTGTATTAAAACATTTTTTCTATTGATGTCTTTCTGTCTAAAGGCTGGAAATATTATTTCAGTTTCAAAATTATGTAAAAAAAAAAACCCCAAATAATGAGTCAAGAAGCAAGAAGATATCTATTAGCATAAGCACAAAATCAAAGAGAACTTAAGCGCACATGTTCTTCTTTTGTTTAAGGAAAAGTAGCACTTTCTTCAATTTGATTAAATGGGATATTAGCGCATTATTTCCTACTGCTCAAAGTTCAACAAATCAACAAAGAGGGAGAAGATAATTTAAATATAGCACTGTCAAAAGATCAATAGATTGAAAATATTCTTCCTTGACATTCAAGTTAAAAGTGAAACAACTCACACAGTAAAACAGACACAACTTCACTTATCCTTAAAGAACATTAAGAATTTCCTCTACATGGTTAATGTTAAGCATGTTCAGTCTTAAAAACTTCTGTTATCTCTCCCTTATTTTTCAGGCATGCTCGGTTTCAAAACACATAAGACTGCAGTATTGTCAGTTTTTATTCACATTTTGATCTACAATTCAAAACTAACCTGTTGATAGGTACTAGTGCAGAAGACAACACGTTTTTCCTCCATTTTGATGTTAAGAATCATTCAGATAATTTTATCTTCTCATTATTAACAATTTGCTATTGCAAAACAAAGACTATGACAATAGCTTACTGATGAGGCTATAAATAGTGGTGATATTAGAAACACAGCAGGGAAAAACACTTTTCCATTAGATTTGCATAAACAAGTAAATTCAGGTAAACCATATTTTGGAAAATGCAATATAACAATCCTATTGTGTAACTAACTATTTATCACACGACTGAAAATAAACTAAATGTAAGAAGTTTCAAAAACTAGTTGTGTGAAATGATTGATAGTTTCATTAATATTTTGACTTAACATAGTGTAACAGCCCATTCTTTATTTTCACTACATGAATAATCTTCTCTAGCAAAGTATCGGAGAAGAAGCTTCCACAGGTCTTAAGCATACACAGTTTGTTTCCTGTGTCAGGGATCACATTCTCATTTCGTCTACTCAGATAAAGAAGCAAACCCTAAAATAGTGATACATTGTAATAACATTAATGTATTTTAAATAATGTATCTATATATTTGTTACATGTATTTTCAATATCAGGTTGTTTATGGAACATAAAATGAAAAAGTTAAAGGAAACATTAAGTTCCCTTTTCCACTGTAGCATATGTTTGCCCTTAGAGACATTGAAAAAATAAGAAGCAATCTCTTCTACACAAATATTTCATAATTAAAATAAATTATGATGTGTAAATTTTAAGCCACTAATGCCAACTGAACTACAGACAGTCTCAGAAAGTTTAGGAAGTTCTTACTAAAATTTGGGCATCTTCAGCCTGCTCTTGAATAGTCTGCAAAGCCTTTGACAGATCCTCATCATCTTCCTGAAGACTAAATTCATCATCTGCTGGAACCTAAATGAAATTATTTTAAGTTAGGTATCAACATACTTTAGACATCTTTCTTTCAGAATACAACTGTTTCCATTCCCAGTACAACTACTGAAAATAATCCCGTTCTTGTTAAAATGATATTTTGCCATATTTAAATAGAATTTACATTATTGAAATATTCATTATAAATAAGCTGAAACATCTAAATAGAAAGACCTGTATATTTAAAAAAAATATTTAACATTCAAATAAAAGCAAAATATAACAAATCAACTGACACTAAATCTTCTCTTGAAAAATATAGATATAGCATCATCTCATTGTATCAAAGGAGATTCGTGTCATTTCTCCCAGCATGCTGTTGTGACTGATGAAGTAAACCAAAAGAATGAAACATGAATACTGTACCACATATATCAGAAGATGACCAATTTAGTAAATTACCTCTTCATACTGAGAATCATCTTTAGAGTCATCTGATATGGTAAATTCTGAAGATTTTTGTTAAGTCTGAAACAGCTGATGCATGTGATGAGTTCCAACTTTAAAAAGTATCATAAAACAACCACCTATAAACCTGTTATCACCACCTTCACCCTTGTTCTTTCTGACACAAGACGTTACACTTACAAGGCTTCTTTCAGCCTTTAGGCGGACATGCCCAGCTCCAGTGAAAGCTACGTACACAGAGACAGAATTCAGATTCCAAGTTTTTATAGCAGGTTTAAACACCATTAAAATTTGCCTCATCAGATCTGTCAAAGTTAGAAGCCAAGTACTGTTCCGAATTAAACAGGAGCTAAATTCTGCTCTCTCACAGAATCACAGAATGTTAGAGATTGGAAGGGACCTCGAAAGATCATCTAGTCCAATCCCCCTGCCGGAGCAGGACACCTAGATCAGATCACACAGGAATCTCATACAGGATCTCATACCAAATCACCAATTTTCACAGGGGTCTTTTACTGCACTTTCACAGACTCTGTGCTTCTAAGCATAACTAACGTCATGCTCTCAGAGAATGGCATTTTTTATCAAATTCAGATGTACGAGTTCAAACATGAACATCTGAGGTCAAACACTGAATACCAGAAGACTATTTACTGAAGCTGATACAAATGCCTTAATAATTAAAACACAGCTACAATAAAAAGATAAGGAACTTTCAAACTGTAAAAACCCATTTGGAAATTATCTACAGTTCCTCCAAATGCTTTAGAGCAATTTTTTTTTCATTAAATATAACTACAAATGGTGTAAAAAAGAAACCCAAATAAACATGTTTTAATCCACTAGCCTCACAGCCCATGATAGTACAACAAAAATGTTTTTAGCAAGATGCTCTGTTGACAGTTTCCCTAGGAAATCAGTTAGCCTACAAATGACCCATGTAAATAAACCAGAAATTAACTTCTGAAGAATAGAAAAGCTGTCAATTCAGTACTTCACACACAAATTTAAATGGTAACTTCTATATTAAAAGAGAAAAAAAATTACATGATTCTCCAGCTTTGCTTCAAGTTTTCCAAATTTGAATTATTCTCCTAAAAAACACACCTCTCACTACAGTTCTCACAGCACAATATATATGTAAAAGCATCATCTGCATTCAGGACCCCAGCAACACAGCATCAACAAAACTATCAGTTAAATTGCAACCATCTGGAAGGCTAACAGCTGAAGATCACATCCCAAAAAAGGATAACCACTATTTGTTTCTTAGAGATGTGAGGTTTCAGATAAAAGATGGAAATATGCCATTTTCTCTTGTAAATAAAAAAAAAAAAAAATAGGGAAGTCTTTGAGTGAATGGAGGCATAATTTTCAGTATTCAAGTCGAAGCACATTGTGTACCTCCAACTGCATGATAACTCTACATGCTTACTATAAAAATTGTATAAATAAAGAGGAAACTGGCATGAACACTTCTAACAATCTCCTATCTGGGCTTAGTACATGAAAACAAATGCCTGTAATAGATGTGCCCCCAAACTTACTTCCCAAATTACTGCATCACAGACTGCAGATGTGGAACACAGGACTTGAATTCAAGTCACCACCTCTCTGCATCTCAAATTTCACTCTCTGCAAAAGCTTCATTTTCTAACTTCACTGATTCTGGAATGTTTAATTCTAGAACCTGAACTACATAGAAACTAATCTCCAAAAAATGTTTAGTGTGTTTTCTTTCATAATGGGGGGGAGGGAAGGAATGAACCCCCAAACTATTAGACTTGACAGGCCTAAATGTGTTCTCCACTGCACCGCAAGAAACCTGGATTAACTCTTCTGACTTTAAAGGGAGGGCAAAGAAATTGTGCCATTCAACAAATGCATCTGTTCTCAGCATGGTACTCCTGGACCGTGTGTGGGCCCACCAAGGTAAGCAAAGAGAACCAAGATGAAAATAGCCCACATTGAGACATGACTTTCAAGAACTGACCCAACAGACTTGAAATGCATCGGGCTAGCTTTCAATTGTCTGCCTGCTCCCCAGTACCACAGGAACGTTTTGGCCCTCGCATCAGTGTCTGACCACATCCTAATAAAACAGCTCCTAATTCCTAGACTTTGTTCCTTCAACTCGAAGGGAGAACTGTTTATCTGAACTGATGACTACATAAGAAAAAGGGAACAAGAGCAAGGCATAAGTGCAAACCAGGAGGAACAGTTTTCCTTTCTTGTTTGAAAAAGCAAGAAGGATGCTTGCAGCAGGCAAGTCAAGATAAAAGACCCAGTAATATCAACTGACTAGCTAGGGTAATGTTTCAAAAAAGCCTCTTTTTTAGTTAGATTAAGATTTCCTAGCACTAAGTAGCTGACTACACATTCCCTCTTCAAAGAAAGAGACTTTAAAAAGTGTGGTCATGTTTGTATAACATGAATATGTGGGTACAATATTTTCTGTATGAAGCAGGGGACAATTTTAGTATATATGTAGTAATTGTATGTACGAACTAAATACCTGCATACTCCTCTGGAACCCCTAAAGTCTTTTCATTGCTTTACAGCACAGATTTTATTAACTTAAAATTAATTTAAATAAAGCACATTTAAATAAAATAGTGTAGAGACTTTTCACACCATATTTAGTGATTCGACCAGAGACTGTTTTTTCCTAATGTTAACTTTTGTACGATCCTTTCCCACCCTATCTTGAATATTTCTTTCTGCATTTATCAAATCTTTCAATGCACATAGAAGCATCACTGCAGTGTACCCCTGATGAGTAAAACACTTTCAAACACTGGTTTTTGCCTGAATTTTCTACTGACCTGAGTGTCCTTCAATCCACTATGGTCTAAACGAATGTGTCATTGCAAACACTGCACACAGAATAAAAGATTGCTTTAAAAATCTTGTCCCGCCCCCGTCGCCTTTTCCCAAAAAATCATGGCCAGGTGCACAATAAAAGAGAAGAATTAGATTTTAAAACCATTCAAGTTTTGCAACAAACACTGGTAAATTATTTTAACAGCTGTAGTGATGCAGTGCTTTTTTGAGCACAATACAGTGTGAAGACAGCTGCACAGTTTCAAGACAGGAGAAACTGAGGCACAAGCTCACCAAGGCCAATCTTACACCTTTTTTTCTAATATTGCTGTTATATTGGCTTACATCTTGATTCCTGCAAGGTAGGAAAAACTAAGGCACTCATAGGGCCTAACACTTCAGCTCTGATTATCCAGTCTCTAAAACAAAGCCCGCAAGATCTTGATTTGTCAGCTCACAGCCACAAAAGAGAGCAGGTAGAGCTAGTCTGACCTAGTGACAAAGCTAGAATTTGGGTCATTTGAACAGAAATTACACATTTAAAAACCATAAACTCCTAACATCATTTGCTACAACTCCTTTGTGAAAACAAATTCAAACTGATTTTTTTTTTCCTCCTCTAGAAGCCCCAGCAAATAAAACTATGTCCAGGTTATTGTATCATAACAACTTGGTCATACACAGTCCCACACAAAAGCGTGAACGTCTGGCCAGTTGCTCTGTGTGGCCGGCACTGGGGAATTAACACCTTTCACAGCAGCACCATTGAGAGTCCGTGTAACAAGTCCTGTCACTCCTCCCTCGATATTTGGCATTTACTGATCAACAGCTAACACCAGAGAGGCGACAAGAGCCTTTCATTCCAGCACTTGAACTCTCGCTCAGCCTGCCCCACCAGCAGCGAGGATAAGGCCGCCCTGCCCTGCTTTTCCTCAGGGTCACTCGGGGACTCCTGCCCTCAGTAACGACAGCACACCAAACCTTAAAGTGAGCAACTCTCTGTAGGGGAAAAAAAAACACAACCACCACACCAGACCTCGCGTATTGTCCCTTTTCAGCCCCCTGGGGCAATAACTCATTAAAAGAAGCAATAAGGCGGTTGCCTGGCCCGAGGCAGCCCCGCGGTCCCCCGCCTGAGGGAGCGCTGAGGA